CAGGCTGGTCTCGAACTCCTGAGCTCAAACAATCCGCCCGCCTCGGCCTCCCAGAGTGCTAGGATTACAGGCATGAGCCACCGCGCCCGGCCCACCCCTGCCCCTTTGGGAAGGCCAGGCTCCGGGACCTCCGGCCTGGCCGAGCTCCCTGCTCGGTGACGGCAGGCAGATCTCCGGAGAGTGCAGACTCTGGCTGGCAGCAGGGTGGTGCCAGGCGCCCCCTCAAAAGGGGTCCTCGCACAGCTGTCTCGGGGATGGGGTCCCCCACGGCAGTTCACCTGGAGCCCTCCTGCCCCAGTGTCACAGCTGCCAAGGTCCCCAAGGGGTGTGTCTGGGCACAGTGGCCATTCTCAGGGAGCCTGGAGCTTGGCTTCCTGCAAGGTGTACATGCTGTCCAACTCTATGGAGGTGCTCACCTGTTGGGGGCCTGGCCTAGCAGCGAGGCTTCAGGGGCCACGCCCTGTACCCTAGGGGCCAAAGTAGCCAGACTGCTGCCCTTGTGTGGCCAGAGTCCTGGGGGCCCATCTGCACCAGGCTGACCCACCCTGCCAGCCTGGGACCCTGTACTGCCCAGCGTCACACCCTCAGAGGCTCAGTGAGGACACAGCCCTGCCTGGCTCCTGTGCTGTGCAGAGCAACACCTGTGGGGGAGGACCCCTAGGCAGGTCCTATCTAGTTGGTGTCTCTGGGGGCCTGGGAGCCCCTCACATCTATGCGGAGATGCGACAGGCATCCACCTGTGGCACCTTCTGGGGGAAGCTGACCCAGCCCTCCCTAGGCACAAATGCAGCCCAGACTTTCTCATGCTGATGTGGATTGTGGGGGCCTGGCTTTCTTAGGGACACATCAGCCCCAGGGACGTGCCACTGGTCCCAGGCCTATAAAGTTGCTGGGGACACGTGGCCATTGCTAGGTGCTCTCCATAGCCCCCTCCCCAGAGCACGTTTGGGAGTTCGTGACTTGCCAGTGGGCCTCGGTCCTGAGCACCTGTCTCCTGCGGATGCCTGGGGTCTCTACCTGCCCAGCTCACTCTGTGGCCAACCCCCCATGGACTTCCCAGAGCTGAGCAGCTCGCCCAGCCCCTCTTCTGTGGACCTCAGCGTAGGTTGTGACTCCTGGTCCTCCAGCTCCCACCATAAGCTGCCCTCACCCCCGAAGTCTGCCCTACCTGCTGGCCTAGCCAGGCCTGCCAATGTAGTAGCCACAGGCCTGCAAGTGACCACAGCCTGACCCGCCCCACCCCCACATTCCCTGCAGGACAGGCCACCCGCGCCCACCTCGGGCTGGCACTGCTGGGAATTCTGCCTGTGGCCCCTCCCTGGGGTCCGCCCAAGCGCAAGCCTGTGCTGCGGTCACCCTCCCCACTGCCCATTCCCCGCACACCGTGCACGCTGCTGAGCTGTCCACCCCCCTCGTCAGCACCCAGTAAATATTTGCTGAAAGAGGAACTTTAATCCAGCCTCACCTCCATCGCAGACACAGTCACGATACCCGCTGGGGACCCTCATGGAGGGGGTCACCTTGGGGGTCACAAGCTGGAACCAGGGCTCTGGAGGGCTCTGGTGGGTCAGTAGGAGCTCCCAGGCCCCCTAGATGCTGTGGAGTGGGCTGCAGTGGGGGCCTCTCAGCGGGGGTGGCTCAGCCACTCCTGCGTGTCCCGTGCCCCCAGAGCTTCCTGGGGGGACGTCACAGAGGAGGTGGCAGCACTCGGCTGCCAGACAGC